TGGCGGGTGTGTGTCTGTGTGTGTGTGTGTGTGTGTGTGTGTGTGTGTGTGTGTGTGTGTGTGTGTGTGTGTGTGTAATGTGAGTAGCAGAGGGCTTTTCTCTGCTCAGTCATCCAGGGACCCAGGCTGATGGGGTCTCCACCGTCTTGCGGCTGTACCATCTACAATAGTGGATAGTCTCTGCAATTTTCCAGCTCGAGGGGTTATGGTAGAGAGCGATGCTTGCTGAGTCAGAAACCTGCAAAGCCCAAGTAGGCTCCACTCACCAAAAAGCAAGGCGTGTGGTCCTGGGTGAATAGACAACTCGCTGTCCCTCATGGGAGAAAAGCCCCTCAGGGAGATGTGACTTACAGCTCCTGATGCAAGGCTGTGTTTACCGAGCCTGGCCTCTGGCCCAGAGGTCCGAGCCTGGGCGCCGTGTAGGACTGTCAGTAGAACAGGTGCCGGGAGGGTAGAGCCGGCTTGTCAGTTTAAACAGTTCATGTCCTCTTGCGGGTGTGGAGTCGAGTCCTGCAATTTCATTCCTCCCTTTGGTTGCAGGTGGAGTTACCAGGATGACGGTGTCGTTGGTGGTCATCATGTTTGAATTGACGGGTGGTCTCGAGTACATCGTGCCCCTGATGGCGGCAGCCGTGACCAGCAAGTGGGTGGCTGATGCCTTTGGGAAGGAAGGCATCTACGAGGCCCACATCCACTTAAATGGGTACCCGTTCCTGGACGTGAAGGACGAGTTCACCCACCGCACGCTGGCCACCGACGTCATGCGGCCAAGGCGGGGGGAGCCGCCGCTGTCCGTGCTCACCCAGGGCAGCATGACCGTCGAGGACGTGGAGACGCTCATCAAGGAGACCGACTACAACGGCTTCCCGGTGGTCGTCTCCAGGGACTCGGAGCGCCTCATCGGGTTCGCCCAGAGGAGGGAGCTGATTCCTGCCATAAGTGAGTAAAGCAGGGAGGCTCACGTTTCACGGAGATGAATGGCACCTCTGTGCCCCGACATTCTCAAAGAGGTTCGAGAGAGTGGACGAGGGTCGGAGGGCTTCAGCCCAGGGTCTCTCACACTTTAATGCTTATTCGTTTCACCTGGGCGTCTGGCCAGAATGCCGTAGGTCTGGGGTAGGACCCGAGACTCTGCATTTCTCCCGAGCTCCCTCTCAATGCTGCTGCTGCTGCCCCCAAGTCACACCGTGAGGGACAGTGTCTTGTCGGAGGCATTCTTGGCTGGACACCGACCACTACGTTTGCAAGCAGCCCCCTGGGCCCCTCCCGCTAGGACACACACGCTCCGCCTTTTAGGGACTTACTGGGCGAAGCTTAGCAGGAAGCGGTGGGAGAGCTTGGGCTGGCCGGGCCAGCTGCTCGCAGAGACGGACCTTCAGGCAGGCTGACCGACTCAGATGCTGAGCCCTTTGCCTCAGATGCCTCCCTTGGCGCCGCTCAAGCCCTTCACTTCGCCACGATGTCCGGTGCCATCAGTTAGATACTCACGTGGGTCCAGTCAGTTCCGTGGGATGCTTTTCCTCCTCGTGCGCTAACTGGATCAGCTGGGCTGAGGGGCAGGCTGCTGAGTTGGGAGAGCAGAGGAGATGATGCCCAGCTGGATGTTCCCGACACGGCGGCTCAGAGAAGCCCGGGGCTCCCGGTGACCCAGGGATGAGCGCCTTGGAAGGGGAGCAGGACGTAGGAGGATTCCACAGGCAGAGGCCCGGGTGTGAGTCTTTGGAGGCCCAGGAGGGAGGGGCAGCAGGCCTTAGCGGGGCGCCCCCAGGGTGGTCCCTCCGGACTTCCTGATGCAGTGGGGGCAGGGAGCCGCAGAGCATATCTGCGGCGCATGGTAAACACTGATGCGCTCCGGCTCAGCACCCCTGCATCTCACGGTACACCGGGGCCCACGACATGGCTCACGTGTGCCCTTGAGGACTGTACTTCCATGACATTTGTGAAGTTTGCCAGGGGGGCTTTTTCAGGTATGATGGTAGAACGCCCCACCGGGAACACACCTTAGCTTATCCCTGCCCTTTGTTAACTATTTCTCAGGCTGTCCCTTTGAATTTCTAAAACCTCTTCGCTATGTTAAGTAGCTTGTAAGATGTTTTTAAAGTATCTTCATCAAAGGCTTTATAAAAATAAGTTTAAATAAGCTATATAGCCTCTAATTTTAGCTTGTTGCTCAAACATATTTCCCTCCCCCAAAGCAACAGTTGATTTTATGTTTTAGACACGAAAGTACATTTGTGCTTTAAGTGCTCCATGATGCTTCTCTTTATTATACGTCCTGTCGCTTAACAGGTAGGTGCCTTTAGGCATGACCATTGCCTTATAAATAATGAGATTTGTTTTTAAAAAAAGCTGTATAGTACGGTTGGGTTTGTTTTAAATTAATGTAATCAGCAGGCTTTAAAAATTTATTCAGTCCTTAAAATCTTTTAAGCAAAGTTTGAAATTTAAACACTCTAGTAATAAATGTCACGGAATCCATTACCTATTGTGTAGCTCCAGGCACACCTGCTAAGAGAGAGCTTACTAATTTTGCTGAAACCCATTACTGTAATCAAGTGGGAAACAGTAATTGTCATCAGCCGGTTAGAGAAGAAATTTAAGCTTGCCAACCCAGTGCCCTCCTAGAAGCTATGTTTGGAATGTCTGAAGAGGCAACACGCGGTGTAAATAATACCTTTATGCTTTCCATCAGACCGATAAGAGTGTGGAAGCTGCCATTTACATGGTTTGCAGGAAAGCAAGGAGTGTTTCGCTGTGAGCAGTGAGAAAAGCTGTTTTCCTGCTCCGTGGATATAGAAAAGTCCTGTACTCCGGTGGAGAAATTCATTACCTGTATTTGCAGACTTAGACGCCCCTTTGCGAATATAGAAATAGGATGTAAGCATTTAGCTAGTAACGATCCCATGCCAATTTCCCTTTCAGGGGACTCAGGAGCAGAGACTTTATATAGATCCAAGATGAGAAAAGAGTAGTAAGTGAGGCAAAGATCTTTTTCTCACGTGTCATGTTATAAAGGTATCAGTTGCTCCCGTGAAGCTGAAAATGTCTTTTCAGTCTATCTCTGGAATGCCAAACCATAGCTGTTGTCTTTGCTGGAGAGCCATTAGTCGCAGCACCTCGGAAACGTGGCCCTCTCGCCATCACGTACTCACACGTAGGGCCATATGTGGCCCTTGTTCAAGTTCCTGGTAGATGGGACTTTACCTCTTGGTGCTCTCTGCAAACATGAGGCTCTTTCTGTGCTCAGCAGGCTCAGGCTCTTCTAGTCTTGAGTTCCGCAGTTAAGTGAGGCTGGATCCAGAGAGGACTCAGTGGGAAGCCGCAAAGATGATTAAAGGGATGGAAAGTTAGAGTCATGGGCCAGAGTTAAGGGAACTCTCATTTTTTTCGCCTGGTGGATGATTTGATGGTGATTCTCCAGCATGTGGAAGAGGCCCACTTGCAGAAAGGGATCCATGTCCAGAACTGAACAACAAGATGCGTGTCAGATCTGTTGGACGGGTTCTTTAGGGATGAAGAGGTTTCTTCCTGGGAGAGCTGTTTGTTAATGATTGGGATAGGCCGTGGAGAACAGTGGTGTCATCTGCTTCTTTCTGCTAGGGATGAAAAAATACATGCAGAGGGACTTTTCCATGCCTTATAAACTCTAACTTGTCAGAAAATCATCTGCTTTTTCTTCTAAATAGTTTTTACTTTTTTACCACATCACCTTTGTACTGACCACCACTATAGTTGCTTCTAATTTTCCATTTTAACCTTTCTTGTCAATTACGTCTGTTTTTATGGAAGCATGTTTTTAACCTTTGATGTCTGGCATCTGCCTAAGCTTTTTTAAAATTAAAAAAGATTTTTTTTTATTTTGATTTTTTTTACTGAAGTAGAGTGGATTTACAATGTTGTACAGCAAATTTCTGCTGTACAGTAAAGTGATTCAGTTATGCATATAGATATATTCATTCTTTTTTATATTCTTTTCCGTTATGGTTTATCACAGGCTATTGAATATAGTTCCCTGTGCTATACAGTAGGACCGTGTTGTTTATCTATGGAAGCATTTTTTTTCTTATTTTTTTAAAAATTAATTAATTTATTTTTGGCTGTGTTGGGTCTTCGTTGCTGCGCGCGGGCTTTCTCTGGTTGAGATGAGCGGGGGCTACTCTTCGTTGCGGTGCGCTGGCTTCTCATTGCGGTGGTTTCTCTCGTTGTGGAGCATGGGCTCTAGGCACGCAGGCTCAGTAGTTGTGGCACGTGGGCTCAGTAGCTGTGGCTCGCGGGCTCTAGAGCGCAGGCTCAGCTGTGTGGTGCATGGGCTCAGTTGCTCCACGGCATGTGGGATCTTCCCGGACCAGGGCTCGAACCCTTGTCCCCTGCATTGGCAGGTAGATTCTCAACCACTGCGCCACCAGGGAAGTCCCTATGGAAGCATTTTTAACGAACAGGATGATAGCGTATTACCTCCCTAAAAACATGATTAGAGTTTCTCAACCTTAACGCCATTAACATTGGGGCTGGATCATTCTTTGTTGATAGGGGCTGTCGTGTGCACTGTAGGATCATCCCTGGTCTCTACCCACTAGAGGCCAGTAGCAACCCGATCCCCCCAGTTATGAGACCCCAAAATGTCTCCGGATATTGCCAGATGTCCCCTGAGGGTGGAGGCAGAATTACTCGCAGTTGAGAACCATTGCTCTAAAGCCATTGTAATCACTTACTGGATATGTGATTATTTCCAGTCTTTTAAAATTTCTTGACCTATCATAGTTTGTGGAATTCACTTTATCAACACTTTCCTCATTACCCTCCCTGCACCTGGCATTATGATCGTACTGCTGCTAGCAAGTGGAATGTCAGGTTGAATGACCTTAACCGGCGCTCGTAAAAGGTACATCATTTTTCAGGAGCCGCAGCCACTGATAGTAGTTGTGGTAGAATAGAACAGCAGACCACCAATACTAACAACAATTTTAAAAAGTCTAGGGGCTAACAAAAGTTTAGACGTAACAAAAATGATCTTTACAACAAAAATGAAGTTTATTACATTTTTTAAAGTAAAAGTAATATTCAGAATGTCGGGGAAATCAGAAGCAAAGAGAAAATTAAAAAGGTGCCCACATTTTCCACACCGTAGAAGGCTCTGGTTAATATTTAGTGTTTTTCTTATCTCTTAGGCCTTTTACACATGTAATGTTGGGCTATCTTTTTTTTTTTTTTTTTTTTT